ACCTTCAACCACTTCTACTGAACCTTCCACTACAACTACGGAACCTTCTACTACAACCACGGAACCTTCCACCACAACTACGGAACCTTCCACTACCACTACAGCACCTTCAACCACAACTACAGAACCTTCTACCACAACTACGGAACCTTCAACCACTACTACTGAACCTTCCACTACAACTACGGAACCTTCTACTACAACCACGGAACTTTCCACCACAACTACGGAACCTTCCACTACTACTACAGCACCTTCAACCACAACTACAGAACCTTCTACCACAACTACGGAACCTTCCACTACCACTACAGCACCTTCAACCACAACTACGGAACCATCAACCACTACTACTGAACCTTCCACTACAACTACGGAACCTTCTACTACAACTACGGAACCTTCAACCACTACTACTGAACCTTCCACTACAACTACGGAACCTTCCACCACAACTACAGAACTTGCCACTACCACTACAGTTTTAAACGCCTGTTCTCCCACTCTGATCGCCTTAGATCGTGGAGACAACAATAACCCTCAAATAAACGTGGAAGTCACATATTCAGGGTAAGAGTTAAAAAAAGGGTTCCACTTAAAATGAGTCCGCCAAAATTACGTGTGCACAACTTTGACGCCATGGCGCTGCGCACTGACGCACTTTTGGTGCGCAATTTTTTAAAATTTTTATTAATTATTTCATTATTTATTAGTTTGCCAAGTTTCATCCCAATCGGTTATGTTTTAGGTAAATGACAGCGGCAAGTCCTCATCGTACTCTGATCGTCGACTTTTACAAGCGAGGTTTAAGCACAGGAGACATTTCTAAACGACTCGGAGTGCACCGAAACACGGTTTTCGCGACCATCCGTCGTTTCAACCAGCTTGGCCACCTCAAGGACCGTACGGGAAGAGGAAGACCGAGGACTGTAAGAACTCCAGCGAAAGTCAAGGCCGTCCGGGAGAAAGTCAGGCGAAATGCTCGTCGTTCCATGAAAAAGATGTCAGATGACATGGATATCTCCTATACATCAATGAGGAGAATTGTCAGAAAAGAGCTGAAGATGACCTCTTATCGAGCAACAAAAGCTGCTATTCTATCCCAAGCCAATAAGGAGAAACGGCTCATCAAAGCGAAGCGCCTTCTCGCTGGCACGCGCAAAAAGGATCATCTTATCACCATCTTCTCGGACGAGAAACTCTTCAGTGTCGAGGCTGAATTTAATAGCCAAAACCACCGAGTGCTGGCCACAAATATTCAACAAGCAGCTGAGCGTGGTAAAACAATCCATCGAGCCTCTCATCCTGCGAGCATCATGGTTTTCGGAGCGGTTTGCTATGATGGGAAGTGTCCGCTTGTTTTCGTTGATAAAGGCGTGAAAATCAACCAAAAATACTACGTTGAGGAGATTCTGGAGAAGCATGTGCTACCGTGGGCTCAAAACCACTTCGGTCAGAAGAAATACATCTTCCAGCAAGATGGAGCGCCTGCTCATACCGCAAAAATGGCTCAACAGTGGTGCAAGGACCACTTCCCCGCCTTCATACCAAAGGACGAATGGCCGGCTTCGTCGCCTGATCTGAACCCGCTCGACTACTCCGTATGGGGAGTTCTGCAGAATAAGGTCTGCGCAAGACCTCATGCAAATATCGAGGCCCTGAAGAAGTCGTTGTCTGAGGAATGGGACAAATTATCCGTCGAATACCTGTTGTGCCACCATTGATGCCTTCCCTCGACGACTTCGTGCCGTGGTCGCTGCCAAAGGAGGTAGAATCGAATAATTTTTGTTGAATTATGATTTCAAGCGTTGAAATAAACTATCTGTTAAATTTCGTCTTAATCTCGCATCTACTTCTGGAGATAACGTCATCTACACTTGCACACGTAATTTTGGCGGACCCTGTAGAATATAGTGGATTGCAAACTGCATTAGTCCAGTGAGACACAGCTTTTTTCAGCTACTCGTATACTGCAATATCTGGATCTAGCGAGACAATGTCCACTATGATTATCCGCTGCTCAGCGATCAATAATTACAATGTTTTCATGCAGTTTAATGTGAACGAAGGAGGACCGCTCGTTGAGCAGTTCCTTCCTCAGACGATTGCTGTTAATGTCACGTGCAACAGTGCAAATCAAGTTTGGATTTATGCGGCTGAAGTTAGTGGTGTAATTCATACAAGAGACATCAGATCAGTTGCGTGTCAGCAGGCACCTAATGCAGGATGATACTTCTCATAATTGTTTGAATCAGGTTGTTTTGATACCTCGTTCAATTTTCTCGGAATTTTTTAAATAATAATTTCAAGTTGATATGTTATTCCGCGTTTTTTCTGTTATAAGATGTACAAAGCAGATTAGAGATTCAATTTTTTCTAATGATACTGTCAAGGTTAATGTGAATCGGATTGTTATCATTAGAAGAATCCTCGATCTCTTGGTATTCTTATTTTACAAAAACCTTTGAGGATAAAAACGATTTCCGTATCTTCGGGAAACAATAAAAAACATTGAGCCTCAAAGTTTTCGATCCGATCGAATTTTCACAAAAAATCCTTTGGTGGGCCAAGGAAGGTCCAACTCCAGAAATCGATCGAAAAGAAGAAACTCGTCAGAAAATGTGCATGTTAAGCATTTGCGCACAGCGTTTCCACTCACCAAAACCTACAGATTCTTTGGACCTCGAATCGTACCAACGTATAACGACCCGAATTTGAATTTTAATGAAGTTTTGTTGAAAAATGCCAAGAAAGTATAAACTCTTTTGGAACAACCTAGCACATGTAAACATAGCGAAACCTCCGACAACATTTTACAAGAACCTTTACAGATTTAAAATGTTTCTAACACCTAGAAAGGAATTTCGACTTTCCCATCATAATCTCATGATAAGACTACATACGCCATCTTCGGCATACTTGATTGATGCCGTCCGCCGACCATTGTCTAACGAGAATTAATAATTCGAACCTTCTTCTTAACGACGCAATTCCGTTCACTCATTGTCCGTTCATCTTTTGGAACTTGCTTCCCTCATGAGGACTACATCAAAAAAGATAAGACTTACTGTCTCCCCCCTCCCTTCCTCAATCTCTTCGTGATCTTTTCATTCTATTCTGTTCTTTTAAAAGTGCGAGTTTATCGTCGAGAATTCCTATTTCCTACATCATGGTGCGGTTTCTACTATTCCTGATAACTTTACACTTTGTTTTCGAAAATCCTAAACTCGTAGAGGCATGTTTTGCAACTCAATCTCCTAGTATACCAGTGGTTACCACAGAAGTACCACCCGAGCTTCGTATGTTCCTATTCTCATTTTAAAAAATTGTATGTGTGATTCATTCCAGGAACATGTTCTGCATCAGAAATCACCTATGGCGTTACCGATCCTACTAATCCGGAAGGACCAGTCAGTGTCACTTATTTCGGGTATCACCTACTGGCCATCAACTTTTCCAAACAATATTTTTCAGTTTAACTTCAACTCAAATCGCTGGAACTCTCGATTCAATTTCCACGATGAAAATTTCATGCATGGCAATTGACGGTTATTATGTGAACATGGAGTTTCAAGAGAATGGACAAGTCAAAGAAAACCTAGAAAACCTCCGAAACATAACTGTCGAAGTCACATGTGACAGTCGTACTATGGAGTGGATATATTCTTCCGTTTTAGATAATGGAGACGTATACACTCATACGGTTTCTTCCGTAGTGTGTCCTCAGGCTTCACTCACTCCACTCAGTAAGAAACTGGTCTTTTTTGTCCTGTTTTAAATTTTATACTATTCCAGATGCATGCTCACCGACGACTATCATGTATGCAGCAGTTGAAAACCCGCAAGTAAATGTGGAAGTCACAAACTTCGGGTATAACTTATCAGTCAACATTTCTTTTTTAACTACAATTTTCAGATTCATATCAACTCGAGTTCCGGATACTACTGAAACAATTTCAACGATGAAAATTTCATGCATGGCCATTGATGGCTATTATGTGCACATGTATTTCAATGGAGGCGGACAAGTCAAAGAAAACCTAGATAACATCCAAAATATAACTGTCGAAGTCACATGTGACAGTCGTGATGGGAATTGGATATATTCTACCGTTTTAGACAATGGATCCCCATACACACGTATGGTTACCAACGTAAATTGTCTTCAGGTTCAAGAAACTCCACTTAGTAAGTGACTGGTCTTTACTAGCTTGTTTCATGTGTTATTTATTTCAGATGCTTGCTCACCGACGACTATCATGTATGGAGAGGGTGATAATGAAAGTCCACAACTAAACGTTGATGTAACAAACTTCGGGTATAACTTATCAGTCAACATTTCTTTTTTAACTACAATTTTCAGATTCACATCAACTCAAATTCCGGGTACTCTTGACACAATTTCCACAACGAAAATTTCATGTATGGCAATTGATGAATATTATGTCAACATGGAATTTAATGGCAATGAGCAAGCCAAAGAAAACCTAGATAACGTCCAAAACATAACTGTCGAAGTCACATGTGACAGTCGTGTTGGGGATTGGAAATATATTACGGAGCTACCAGGTGGAGTGGTATATGATCCCACAGTTACAGCTGTAGAATGTCTTCAACTTCCACTCTAAATACGGGTATGGTTTGGAATTCCCAAATCAATTGTTGTTAATAAGCATTGCATGTTGTTTTCTAATAAAATTTTATTTTTGATTTTTGTTGTTCTCGATCATTTTTCAAAGATCCTGATCATTCTCGGAATACATAAACGAATCCACTGAAAATTAAGGATGGTACTACTGCCGTATTTCATTATTTTGTAAATTTCAACACTAAAATATTCAGAACTCGAAAAAAAAAAAGATTTAATAGGCAGTCACTCATGATCGGGCTAATGAGAAAGAATTCGAACCTTTTTCTCTCCTCCCGGAACGTTCTCTTTTCATACTAGATCGCCATTGTAACGATCTTATTTGATCCTCCCTCCTCCATCCTCTTTGAACTAAATGATCTTACGGATACTTTATCAAAAAGATAAAGGATCGCTTGCAAGTTCGTATGACAGTATATGCGAATTCGTGTTTTTGCTTTGCCTCCCGTTCCTTATTCGCTCTCTTCTTGATCTTTCCACCACAATCTGAAAATCGAAAAATTCAAGAATTTTGAGAACATCAAAATTTTGGAGTTTTTTGATTTTCAGAATGTGTATTTTTGAAAACCATAAAATTGCTTTTTGGAATCTGAAATTCATCCATTTGCCTGCATTACCACGGTTTCAAACCGGTTCCAAAATTGGTGATTTCGATCTGACACGGAGCCGAAATTTTATGGGTTCCTAACCTTATTTATTCATGTGAAAAGCGAGAAAAATAAGTTTTGATTTTTAGAAACTATGAGTCTTGTTTTGTCACGGCAGCAGTAGTCCTCCTGCACGACTACAAACTACAAATATTTATAGAGACTCCACGTGTCTCAAATACACTAAAATCTTGCAACTAATAATCTATTCCCGTGAATTCCAACGTGACCAAGCTCTTCCAATCTTCCAATCTGCCCTGACCTCCACGACCTCCACGTCAAGCTCCACCCCCTCTGATGGCTATAAAAGGAAACGAATTCGACAGAAAGATCAGTTTACTTCTTCTGAAGACCAACGTCCCAACTGCTCCCGAACAACTCTCGCACCAAATGTCCGAACTACCAAATGCTGGAAAGAAGACTGCTGGACCCACTGGAAAGGCCAATACTCCTCGAGTCATGGAAGTCAGTGGCAAGATGATGGCACCGACGAGGCATGGTCAGTTAACTCGATTTGTTCACAATAAAGATTATTAGTTTTTATTCCTTGTACTTACATTCTTACTCTGGACCACCGGCCTTAGAGTAGGAACATGGTGCATCGACCGGATTTCTACGGTACACACAGCCGTAGAGACCCGCCGGTGGCAAGGAATTTAAGCTATTAATCATATCAGACGTATTAGAATGCAGTAAGGCAACAAGGTCAAAAGAGTATTCTCACCCACCACATATGGTAACCCCACGTTGCCACAACTCATTATCGCGAAAAGAACTTTGTACTAATCACTTTATCACAAATTTCAACCATCACGAGTCCGTACCTCATCACACTAATATTGCAGCACCGATTACACAATAAACTTGATTGATTACACAATAAACTGAATCACCGCAAAACAAAAAAAAAAATATATATATATATATATATGTATTTCTTTTCACAATTTCATAACTATCACAAGTTATGAAACAACAACACTGCCTGATTCACAATTCAGTCACCCATCTCACGCAGATTTTGGGTATTACCCACATGGAACTGACAGTAATTATCCACCAGAATACTGCTTTACAATTTACTCAGAAAGTGAGCATCGTCCATGTGCTAATGTGGGTTTTCACGGGCCCTACGAAGATCCACAGTTGGTGCATCCGACGTTTATCACTTCGACATTTCAACAACAAACAGTTCCTTTTCAACGGTCACTACTGTCGTACGTAAGGCAGTCTGAAATGTCGGTCTTTATGTGTAATGGAAGTCGCTCTGCATTCCAAAGATTATGACCCGTTTCTATCCTTCAAAGGATAGCCTCATTATATAATTACACACAACAACATTGTCATACAGACCGTTTTTGACAGCATATTATACCATACAGTACTGGCCAAAAAGGTATTCGCAAATAGTTTTTCGAGCATAACTTTTCTGAAACTTCCCGATCAATCTGATATTTTAAGACAAAGTTTAAAACGGTAAAAGAAACTGATTCAACAACAAGAATAGTCAAAATTTCAAAAAATTGAAAAAAAATCGAAAAATTCATGAAAATTGCAAAAAACCGGTAAATGGAACTTTGACTTCTGAGATCTAGGATAGACCGGTAAACGAAAAATAATAATAGAAAATGAATAAAATAGCTTTAGTACTTCGTTGGGAAGCCTTTGGCGTCGATTACCGTTTGACATCTTCTTGGCATCGAGTCGAGAAGGGTGTCGATGACAGACATCGGGATGGCCTGCCAGACATCTTGGAGTTGGTCGAACTTCTGGTTGGCATTCGAGGCACGAACCCCTCTAAGCTGTCTCTCGACATGCTCCCAGAGGTGTTCGATCGGATTCAAGTCCGGAGATTGACTTGGCCAGTCCAGAAGATCCACGTGGCGGCGTCGGAACCACTCCTTGATGTGCTTCGAGGTGTGCTTCGGGTCGTTATCCTGTTGGAAAACGAACGCCCGGCCCACAGTAGACCTTGCCCAGGGTCTCATTGTGTTCTCCAAGATGTCTTCATACACAAAGCGATCCATGATGCTTGTAATTCTTCTCAGCGGGCCGATTGAAGTCCCAGAGAAGCAGCCCCAGACCATCACCGATCCACCTCCATGCTTGACGGTTTGGAGCTGGTAGCTGGGATCGAACCGACATCCAACCGGACGGCGAATCCACTTGATACCGTCAGTACCGAACAGATGGAGGTGGTATTCGTCGTTGAACACGTGATTAGCCCAATCCTGACGTCCCCAGTGGAGATGAGCTCTGGCCCATGCTACGCGGGCGATTCTGTTCTTCTTGCTGATCGATGGTTTCTTAGCTGGCCGTCGTCCATGGAGTCCAGCATCTTGAAGACGTCTTCTGACGGTTCTCAGGGATGGTGTGACTTCATTTGGAGTCTTCACGACCATCTGAATGTCCGTAGAACTCCTCTGGGGATCCTCTCTTGAAACTCGGACGATGTTCCGATCCATGTTCTTCGACGTGATACGCGGTCTTCCAGGCGATTTTCGCTCCACCAAGGCTCCCTAAACATTTTTTTCCATAACTATACTATTTTTGAATATTACCTCATCCCGAAACTGCTTCAAGATCTTCTCGATGGCACGTTTAGTAACATTGAACTGCTGCGCCAAGAGGTCCTTGAACATCCACTTCTGAAGCCGATGACGATGGCTTTACGGATGTCCTGAGAGATGTTTTTTTTCCGAGGGGTCTGGCCATGTCTGTAAACAGTTTTAAATACATAGGAGCCAAAACCAACATTCTTAGAAACCATAATATCCAAAAATATAAAAATATGAAAAAAGTGAAAAAACGAAAAAATTGAAAAAATTGAAAAAAAACAAAAAATTTCTGAAAATGATGCAATTTCCTTGTACGCAATTTGTCGTCACCGTGTACGACATGCACAGTAAAATTTTCAGATCGATCCCTTAAGTTTCAGCAAAGTTACTTTCAAAAAACCGTTTGCGAATACCTTTTTGGCCAGTACTGTAGGTTTCAGCTCATCAATCTGCGAAGTCCACAACTCGTCGTCCGTCATCGCACCGTTCCAAGTCTGCCTCAACGAAACGCAACCCCACAGGAACTGCAGCGGATCATGACAATTGGACAACGCTGCAACATTTCACTAAACGAGCAAGCAAAGCCATCGATCTCATTGCTGAGGCTCGCCGTATTTTAGACGGTGTTCGTGGTGAAGACTTCATACCCGTCCTCCAAGCATCTTACCGAAAACTCTACGAGTTCATAACAACTTTCAACAACTCTAACAGCGAGGCTCTCAGCCTCATTGATAAACACACCGCTTTGTCTTCCTCATCGGAGACACGCAATAAAAATTACTTAGCTTTATCACAACATCTCACCGATAAAGACTACGACCTCCTATCCGGATCTATGGAGGACTTATTGACTGAGATAACTCAAATCTTGCAAAATGAGACTGGTCCCTTTGTTCCTGCAAAGAAAACCGACGATACTCCAGTTATCTCGGCACAGGCCAAGGAAATGATTTCGAAGTTACCGTCACTTCATAGTATTTCTCAATCGGAAGGAAGTGATAAGATAGAGGAACACTCCTCTTACCAAGTCGCTGCCACTAAACCACCAGCTGCACCAATTGTGGTTAAAAAACTCTTTACAAAAGAGCCAGAAGCAATTTCGTCTGGGTTACAACACAACAGTACTCCTGAGCATCTGAAAGAGTTACCTGTTATTACACAATCAGGGACAATTCCACATGAACCACAGGCTGGTTCTACAATTCAAGGAGATATCCTCCAAGACATACTTACCAACTTCATGAAAAACTTCGACAAAAAATTTCAAAACTTTTCTGAAAAAACGGAGCACAAACTCCAACAGATGAAACAACTACAAGGTCATTTTATCCAGCAACTGGAAGGGTTGCAAGATAATATGTCATTAGTACAAGATCAGTTAAACCAGCACACTATGGCTAAAGAACAGGCCTCGGAAATCTCGGAAATCAACCAAGATAATGAGGACAAAGGTAACAGCTCATATTCTGACGATAAGCCACCTGTGGATTCGAAAGCCACATTCGCACAAAAACATTATCAATCCCCACCTCATCAGTCCCCACATTATCCATCCCCACCAATGGGTTCTCCACAAATCAGCCCAGTTAATTGTTCACCAACTCTTAGCATCAGCTATCCAGCAACTGACATCAGTAACATTTTGAACACACTCAATCCGTTTAGTGGCAATCCGGATGAGTATGCCCTGTTCATAACTAGATTCACGTCCCTAGTACACAACTATCCAGGGATCGACACGATCATGAAACTCAATATCTTGATCAGCTTGTTGAAAGATGAAGCTCAAGAGCTGATAACCAGTGATGATCTCTCAGAAGACTTATATAATACTTTGCGGGAGAATCTAGAGCTTGTTTATAATCGCACCTCAGATAGACGAAAACATCTCATGGATGATTTCAGAAAAATGCCAGTCCACCAAACGGACTACAAACAGATGGCACGTGACGTTATGAAACATGTATGCCTGATGAACTCTCTCAAAAAGAATGACATTACAGTTGATGACCCACTCATTATAGATCTCTTCGTGGAGAAGCTCCCCTTCCGCATCATGAAATCTGTTGTAAAGAAAAACAGAGTGAAATTACTCTCCTTCATGCAGACAGTATCCCTTGTCCAGTCTTTGATCTCTGAAAACAGAACAGTGGATGAGGCTAAAAAGAAGAAAAACAGCAGTACCCCGTTAACGGAAGTGTGTGTAGCGGAGGTCAATCATGTATCCTCCAGTTCTAACAAGCCACACTCACAAAATCATCATAAACAACACTTCAAAGAAAGACAACAGCATGAGAAGCAATTCCAGGAGAGACCTAAAACGCCTTATCAATTATTATCATGTTTATTTTGTCTCAAAGGTCACGAAGCATTTCGGTGCAAGTTGTCGCCTCAGGACAAAAAATCCGCGGCTGAACGGAAAGAACTCTGCCTGAATTGTCTCTCAAACTCACATCAAACACAACATTGCAAATCGAAATATTCCTGCTCAGTGTGCAAGAATCGTCATCACACTTCTATATGTGCGGAAAAAGAGAAGTTCCAACAGATGGTAAATCTCGTGAACACAGAATCTTTCAAACAGTTTTTTCGGTCCAACGGAGTTGACTGTTAAAACAGCGATTCCGAGCCCACCATCACCCACATCACAAAATTCCTCACATTCTACAGTTACACACATTACAAACGGGAACACTTCCCAGCCTCCCACTATTCCAACACATTCACCACAGATATTCCACTTGGGATCAGATCACTCAGAAAATACTATCACTGTAAATTTATCAATGGTGTCTGACCCTGAATACACATTACCATTTATACAACTCTGTACCCCATCAGGTCAACTCGTCAATGCACTAGTCGATAGTGGGGCCTCCACCTCGATCATTTCAAAAACAGCAGCCCACATGCTGAGATGTCCCATCCATGAGCAACGGACGATAAACTTCAAAGGGTTTCTATCATCTACAGGACCACAAACTATCAATTTCTATACAGATTGACTTAATTTTAGGGAAAAATATCTTGCCTAATATTTTAACCACCAGCATTCGTCATATTCTCCCAAGTGGGAGAATTGTTGAAGATACGTCTTTAGGATACATCACACATCCATGTCCAATTCCCAACGAAATACGTTCGAAAACTCTCCACCGATAACAGAGATAACCAATCATCTCGACACATTTACTATTCTCACTATTGATACACCTGACTATACCCAGTCGGAAACAAAATCTGGAATTTGGTTAGAAACCGTGTCTTCAGGACACAACATCACAGTTGCTTAACAGTAGACCAATCACAATGAACCCTATCAGTATTTCCGACACAGAAGCAGTTCGCCCTATCGATTTCTTGCTTCCAAGGGCAGAATTGTCACTTCCAAACAATCCCTTCACAACTACCACAGCCAAACTCGGAGTGACCGAGAACCAGACTCGAGAATACCTTAAACAACTTGACACCATTCGTCTACACTTATGGGAAGAGTTCTACAAGGAACTCTATACGGGAAACAAAGCCCCACGATATAAAGCCAAGTCACACAGTACAGAGAGTCCCCAGCCGAATCATGTGGTGCTGGTCGAAACACCGAATCTGCCACGGTATCGATGGCCGTTGGCACGCATCATTCAACTACTACCATCTAAAGATGGCAAAGTACGATCAGTTTTATTAGGTTGGCGGGAAAGTCTTTGTCACTCTGTTTGTTTAATCACTGTTCTCGTATATGGAGGCTGTGTATGATATCGACTCTAGTGAATAACAAGGTGATAAGAACCTTCCATATAAACAGTCCCCATTTCCTTCCCTGCTCCTCATCTGTAATTGAAACGATATGTTTGTTCCCACTGCTATTCACATCAGACATGTTTTGATTTACCTCTTCCTATCTCACACCACGATGAAGGATTCGGAAACTTTCTTGAAGAATGTGTACAACACACATGCCCCTCACTACAATACTATTCGCAATTGGTTCCATCGTTTCGAAAAAGATGACTTCTCGCTCGATGAAAAGGATCGCTCTGGGAGACCCCGTGAGTTGGATTTGGACAAGCTGAAGCACGCATTGCAATCGGATCCATTTCAATCTAGCCGTGAACTAGCTGTCACATTCGGAGTTCACCATAGCACAGTCCTTGAAGGTTTGAAGTCTCTTGGAATGAGAAAACTTTTTGGTCGATTCATACCTCATCACCTGACTCAAGCCAACCTTGACCGCCGAGTCGACGATTCGATTACTCTTCTCACTCTCCACGCGGGCGATCGATGGCTGGACCGGCTAATAACCGGAGATGAGAAGTGGGTCTTCTACGATAATCACCACAGGAAATCCCAGGGGGGGGATCCTCTAGA